GAGAATTTAATTATTTCCAAAAGCATACCTGAAGATGGTACAATGATTTTTATACTGAAACACTGATGAACAATGAAAACGTCTCCTTCAGGGGTAGGGTAGAAAACGTAAAGAAAATTCTGTGTTACTACTGTCAAATCGTAAAGTTTCTCCATGTACTGCATCCTGTTTGCCTATACTGATCTGTAGCTGATGACCAATCTTACTTAACTAATTTTCTTAGAAATTGTGAATGGAACAGCAAACTTCATTCTTTCATGGTGTATTTTCACCCAGGGCAAGTCCTGCCTGATCAGCCTAGTGGTATTCTATGATCTATGACTATATCAGTGGACAAAGGAAGAGCCACGGATGTCGTCTATCTGGACTTTTGTGAGGCCTTTGACATGGTCCACCACAAGATCCTTCACTCTAAATTAGAGAGATATGGATTTGATGGGTGGACTCTTTGGTGGATAAGGAATTGGTTGCTGGATGGTCACATCCAGAGTAGTGGTCAATGGTTCAATGTCCAGACAGACATCAGTGAGGAGTGGTGTCCCTCAGGGATCCGTGTTGGCACCAGTACTATTTAATATATTCATAATGACACAGACAGTGGCATCAAGTGCATCCTCAGCAAATTTGCAGAAAATATCAAACTGAGTGGTGCAGTTGATTCAGCTGAGGGACTGGAAGCCATCCAGAGGGACCTGGACAAGCTCAAGGAGTGGACCTGTGTGAACTTCTTGAGGTTCAGCAGGGCCAAGTGCAGGGTCCTGCCCCCGGGTTGGGGTATCGATACAAGCTGGGGGATGAAGGGATTGAGAGCAGCCCTGAGGAGAAGGAACTGGGGCTACTGGTGGCTGAAAAGCTGGATGTGAGCTGGCAATGTGTGCTTGCAGCCCAGAAGGCCAACCGTATGCCGGGCTGCATTAAAAGAAGTATGGCTATCAGATTAAGGGAGGTGACTCTACCCCTCTGCTCCATTCTGGTGAGACCTCACCTGGAGTACTGTGTCCAGCTTTCTCCGGTAAAGACATGGACCTGCTGGAGCAGGTCTAGAGGGGGCCATAAAAATCATGAGAGGGCTGAAGCCACCTCTCCTGTGAAGACAAGCTCAGAGAGTTGGGGTGGTTCAGGCTGGAGAAGAGATGGCTCTGGACAGACCTTATTGCAGCCTTCCAGTACATAAAGGGGGTTTATAAGTAGTGGGGAAGCTGAGAAAGATGGGGACAGATGTTTTAGTAGGGCCTGTAGTGATAGGACAAGGGGAAATGGTTTTAAACTAAAAGCAGGTAGATTGAGACTAGATCTGAGGAGGAAATTTTCTACTGTGTGGGTGGTGAAACACTGGAACAGGTTGCCCAGTTAGTAGGTGCCCCATCCCTGGAAACATTCATATTGGACAGGACTCTGAGCAACCTGAGCTAGTTGAAGACTAGAGGACCTGTAAAGGTCCCTTCCAACCCACGCTATTCTATGATTCTATGTTTTTTTTCCAAAAAAAGCTAAAGCTAAATCTACTTACTCTGAGCAACCTGAGCTAGTTGAAGACTAGAGGACCTGTAAAGGTCCCTTCCAACCCACGCTATTCTATGATTCTATGGTTTTTTTTTCCAAAAAAAAGCTAAAGCTAAATCTACTTTAAAAAATGTAAAATAAGCTGTTTGACATACATATTAAGTATTTCAATGTGTTGGATCACAGTCAGAGCCTGATCGTTCTGGAAAGTTTTAGCAATTAACTGATAATTAACTCAATCCAGTTTATGTTGAAAAAGGACATCTTTCCCCAATTGCCCACTAATTTATTTACAATATAGTAAATAGCCTGTGTTCACAAGTTTCTCTTTTGAGTGCAGGAAGTTTCCAAAGAGGCATGCTTTCCATACTGACGTGGAACATGTCCTGTTTCAGAAGAGTGTGCCATGCTGGACAGGGCACAACCCACAGCTGTGAAACCAGTCTGCTCTACTGAGGCTATTTGTGTGCATGGGTTGGGGGGGAGGAGGAGGTGAGTGGAAAATCACAAATTAACTTGATATGGTGTCTGAACCTTGTAATGAACCAAGGGTCACAGAAAATAGCAACTTCTTAAACCCTTTGATCTGTATGTTCTCCTGTTTTTCTGAGTCCAAAACCCCTCCATTTTGGCAATATTTCAAAAAAAAGAATTCACTGCAAAATAAACATTGTGTATTGCATTTTGAAAGATAGATTTTGAAGAAATAGTAAAAATACCTATCGCTGGACTCTTTTAAAGCATGTAAATATTGTGCATTTTGAAAGATAGATTTTGAAGAAATAATAAAAATACCTATTGCTGGACTCTTTTAAAGCATGTAAATATTAAGTGTCTTAAAATACTGTAAAAATTGTTTTAGTTGTATCATTGATCTATTACTGATAGCTTCTTCCTTTTAAGAAGTAGATTAGTATGGATGGCACTATAAATTGCCATAAAATACTTCCAGATCACTTGGATCTTGTTTAAACCACCAGCTTTGTATAGCCCTGCTATAGCAACAGATATATAATCCTAGGCTTACGACAGCATCTCAGAGGCAGCTCTGAATTTCTCTACACTGTTTATTGCTTGGTGAAATGTGGTCATGTTGCCAGGGATGCTGGAGTGGGCTGGAATATCTCTGGAATTAACAACCTGGGCAATTGACCTTTCAGGTTCCTACTGCAAATGAGGTGAAAGACAGAAATATACCAAGGTTGGGTTGTAAGGAGCAGAATAGTTTCTTTTTGAAAAAAACCCCAACTTTCCGTTCTCACACTGTACCAAATCATGAACCAGGGAGAGAGGCTTGTGGAGAAGAGTGAAAAGTCTCTTCATCTTCCTGCCTCAAATATTCTGGTCTATACTATTTCTGTGTACTACAAGTGGTTGGTGTGCTCCCTGAGAGCTGTGTTAGTCTCTTCTATGGGCAGGTTTAGCTTATTTTTAGAGGGCTCTAACCAGCATGTTGTCTTGTCACTTTCTCATGCTTTCCTGTTAGGGCAGACCTGGTGACTCTTTAGAGGATGCCAGGATGCAGGGTGATGGGCAGTGTCTGTGAATACTGGAGCAGCTGGGGTGGTTGCACTCAGCCTGTAGTGAAATGGTTTACTCTACCTGATGCAAAGTCACGGGGCAGCAGGCACAGATGGTGATGTTGGCCATCTCTTGAAGTGAGCAGTGACTGCTGCAGCACCCAAACTCATGGCACAACTCCAGAGTCTGCCTTCTCTTTTCCATTACATCTGCCTCTGAGACCTATGTTGAGTTGGAAACACTTATCTACATCTCACACCACCCAGCATGTCTCCCCAATGGCAGATGAAATTGCTTCTGATGAACAGACTTCTCTGGCACCAATAAGCTATTAAAAAAAACCCCACAAACTCTAGCCATATTATGAAATACGATTTGAGTCAGAAATTTCATACAGGTGTCTGGCTAAATCATGGCAAAATTGTGAAACTGCAGGGGAGTAAATGAAGACCAAGCCCATGCTAATTTAAGGGATTTATAGTCAAAAGAATAATGCTACTTGAAGGCAATGTCTGTTAAAAGGTAGCTGATAGCTCTCTTTTGTCTTCTATGAAATTGAAGCTGTGGAAATAATGATGTTTCCATGTTAACTGTGTCAGAACAAACATGAGAATGCCTCTTGTGTGGCAGGCATAGGTGTTATTTCTACTTCACAGGAATTAGATTTATTCCTACTGATCCTGGAAAACTAATTTATGTAAGAGACACAACTGGGGACTGGTTTACTTTGTTTCAAGAGCATTAAGGAGTTTTGCAATCAGAGGCTCCGTCGGGTATACATATTTAACAAAAGGAAAGTAATACCGTGAGACCAGATTCTTTTGTTTTGCATTTGGCATTGAAAGAGGAAGATGTGATTTGCAGTCGCTTCCAGCTACACCAGTATGTGATGGTGAAAGTTGGCAGCAGCTGCTACTTAGCTATCTGTGTTCCTTCCATCAGAGTTTTGCTTCTAATGCTGGAGATTGGAACCCCCAAGGGAGGACAAAATGTCCCCAAAGGGTGGCAGTATGAACACGTTCTGCTGTCCCCGTGAGATGACGTCTGTAGGTTTACGGCTTCTCCTTTTGGTACGGAATAATGGAGTGTGCCTGACTAAGATCATATTGTTTTGGAAAATGGAAAATCTGCAAGGGTGAGAGAAAATCTTGTATTGTCACCCATGTGATAACTGTGTCTCATGATGGTAAGTCATCAAGACCAGGGCACACTTTTGATTTATTTTTATGTTGAAATCTAGTATCAATGTCTTAAATACTTCAGATTTGGTCATGCTCATGTTTGTAGCTACATAGTTCAAGCATAATTGCAACTTTTCTTATTTAATTTCCTTCTCATCATTGCCTGCTTTGCTATAGGCTACTCATAACATTGCAAATTTTAGAGTAAATTTAATACAACACTTGCAGTGGAATTAAATGACCTTTGATGCTAGTATTGGTATTGTAAATTAGATCTCACTGAGATTTGGTTGAGTAGTACCAATGTGACTGCTTAGTGAGTCTGTCCAGTTACTGCCTCCCGACGTAAGCAAGCATGGTTGATCTGCTGTGCTCAACACATCCTCAGTATTAAACTGGATTGAACTGTGAGATTAGTGATTAAAAATGTTTCCTATATTTCAGATTTGACTCCAGTTCTGGTAGCTGAGGTAGTTTCAAAAATAGGAAGAAAATTTAGACCTGTTTCTCTTTTTCATTTGTGGTTGTGTGTTGTTCGTTTGTATTTGGTTTTTTTCCTTCTTGGGGGTCGTGAGAATGGGCCTATGTAGGTCAGGATCACCTACTCCAGAAAACTAAGATTATGGTTGTGTAAAATGATTAAAAAAAGAGAAAAGGTGGTGTGGGGAAAATTAATATCTGGGTAAGGAGATGGGAAGTAGTGGCAAAGTGAGACAGGAGAGAACCATATGTTTCAGTACTTCACTAATCATGGTGGAAAGATCACTTAAGATGTAAAATGACCATAAAACTTTATTTTTAAGTAGATTTGAAGAGTTGCTTTTTTATTTTGCAATAAATTAAACAGAAAAGATGCTACATACCTGACTGTTGAATACAAACTTAGTAAAAATACAGCTTATACAATTCTTATATAATTTAAAATATGTCAACTTATAATATATTTACATAGCATAATAGCATCACGGAGCTGCAGTCACACTTATTAACACTTCACAGATTAAAAAAGGCATTAATCAGTCTTTTCTGGGCATTCTCTTGTTATGCAAAAAAAGTCAGTCATCCTTATTTTTCTTCTGAACTTGATAATCTTTTTCCAGCATTCAGCTTGCCAGTCTTGCACTTCCTAATAATCAGCAGTTCTTTGGGATCTAAGACTTGGTTCAATGTTCACAGTGTAGTTCAAACAATAAATAGTATCCATACCCTGTCTTGACTCCATGGCGTATGGGAGGAGAAGATTTTTCTCCCCCTGCTTCTCTCACCCTTGTAACAGTCTTGCCGGCTTTTATCCTGTGTTCTCTTGGCTGTGGAGCTGCTTGCATCTCCCTCATAGCCCTCCTTCCAAAGCAGGGGTTCTTCTTGCTGAGGTCCAACCACCCTGAAGGATCTCTCCACAGGATATTTGTCTCTTCACTGCCTCAAACGCTTCATTTTGAAGTGTTGGTTTGCAGCTGGTTCAAAAGGTTCAGGTATGCTTTGGATTTCAAAAATCTGGGATATGAATCCCTTTCCATGAGGATGTACACAGTTCTCTGGGCTTCATCAAAACTCGTGTGAGTTGGGTCTTGCGCCTTTTTGGCTGTTGCTTCCCTCATCTGATAGTCAATATTGATCTGGAAAGTGAAAACCAAATGCCATCAACATCTAAAAATGTATTTTCTATATATCTGCCACTTTGTTTTGTCTAATAAGCAAATTTGCAGCCTTAGAACTCAGTGTGATAGTTCAACATCAGAACTGCAAAATGCAGTTTAAAGCTTATGTTCCAGTTATGCACAAAAATAGCTACTTACTATAGAAATTCAGTTTCTTATGGAGTCAGAAGTAACACAACTGATCAATGGTGTAAGAGAGGAACAACCTCCAATTAAACCTCCAGTTAAAATAATAGCAGAAAGCTTGTGTAGAATGCGAGTCTCCAGTTTGAAATACGATCAACATATACATCGTGTGACTCTGCTGGTGAGATCTGATAATCTCACAGCCAAAGACAGTAATGATGCAAGTACACCATAAAAACATGCCTCTGTCTTTGTCGTATGTAACTGAATGAATGTGTGAGCATTTCAGTGAAGCTACACTTCTATCTTCTGATTTCTAGAATCCTTGTTCACAGATTAACTTTGTACATACCTGTTTAACAGCATCTGACTGAACAAACTCCTCATAAATCCTTTCTGCTTTGCCATGTAAGTGATCAGACTTGGTTTTCTTGTAATCCTCACAAGCCAACCAGAACTCGATATTTTCCTCGCTGAACTCTGACTTCAGGAATTCCCGAAAGACACCTTGTCCACCTAAAGCCAACACAAATACATCATCATTAAATACATATTTGTGACCAAGGAGGATAAAATAAATATCAGGAGTTGTATTGAAATCTGTTATAAAATTTTGCCAAATTCACTGTTCTTCTATTCTTCAAGATACTACAGATACTCTAATATTAAGGGTGATGGGAGTCTTCCTAATTAGGTTCAGTGTATTTTAGGTCTAGAACACAGGTACTAAAATACATCAATGGATTCTAGTCCTCCCTAAATGGATTGTCTGAGGGTACAAGTGGAGAGAAAATTCCAAATTAAACTGATGTGTTATGCAAGGACAGAAGACTAGTCAAAAAGCAGTGGATTGAGCCATTTGAAGTTTATTTGCTGTAGTGGGAGTATGAAATGGAAGGAAAAAGACCCCAAACTTGGAAGAGAAGCTGTAACAGTATCTGTTACACTGGAGCTGTAAATAACTGAAATGCAACTGGCCATTCTCTGACAGTGTTTGCAGAATGCTACAGCTTTGCCTATTTGGTGAGATTAGATAAAATTTTGTTTTCAAAACAAGGTCATACTGAAGTAGTAGACTTACTTTGGCTGGCCAAGAGCTTTTCCAAAGACTGGGACCACTGTATTACTTCCTCTGCAGAAAGCCTAAGATGACAAGAAAAAGAAAATATTTTAGGCAAGAAACCATGTCGGATTGTTTACAAGTTTAAAAAAGACATTTTCAAATTTTATCATTTATTTTTCTATTCTAGGAATATGTACCAGGTATTTATTAAATTTACTACTTTCTCATAATCTGAGACCCTGGAGGCAAGCCCACTTTGAAAAAAATAATCAGAGAGATGGAAAAACAAAAATGATGGTGTTATACTGAATTCTGTTCCCAGAAAGATGAGCTTTTACTGTAACTATGACCAAATAATTTTGTATCTGTACTTTGGTTTCCATATTCCTGAAAAAAGAATGGTAATATCCTTGCTCTTCACTTAAATGTGAAGCATCGTTTCTTGTAAATCTTTACAGAATGGATACAACGTTCCTCTGAAGAAAACAGATTTACTGATGTGCCTTCTCCCTCATTGTTTGATACAAATACATCACTAAAAAAAAATCCTTAATTCCATCAATAGTTTCTACTTGCTAATGTTCACTTCTTTTGTATTTTGGAAATTCTAGGCATTAGTAGAATGTTTGTTTTTCTAGAAGTAGTTTAGAAATTAATAAAATAGTTTACTATATAGTAATCTAGCTATAGTTATATTTTGTTATATCTTACTGTATCTCAGTACTTACATGACATTTCTGGAGTTAGAAGTCTTGATCCCAGATTCAATATGTGGTACCATGGACTTCAAATAATTTTTGAGATCTGCACCACTGAAACCAATGAACAGACATTTTTGTAATCCATTAAAATTGCAGTTGCATTTCAATTCTACTTAAACTTCTTAAAACTTTTGAACAGAGACAGACAGCTCCATCCTATGGCTGAAGTCCGGGAAGTTACGTATCCAAGTAATTTTTTTGAAAAGACTAAGAGGCTCCCAGTGTGTCCAAAATCTACTCCCGAATACTGAAGGGAACCAATTCATTTGTATGCATCAGTTCAAGCCACTTTAAATGGTGCTGTAGTCCTGGGCTTTGAGCAGCCTTTGCAGTCATTTAGCCTGAAACACGGTGCTAATTCGTAATCTCCAAGATTCTAGTGTTATTTGCATTTCTAATAAATTAGAGTTTATACTAAGATGTATATACTTACAAAGCCTTTTGCTTCTTCTTATGGATTTTGCCTTCTGCAAGCTTGCAATCTTCTTTTCCATTTAATTCAGTCATGTTGTTGTGGTGAAAAAAGAATCCTGGCATTTTACTTAACTTTAATGTGAAGCGACTTGCAACAATAATCCTCCAAGCACCAAATGTCAGTTCACTGACTCTGCTACCGCCTTTTATTGACGCAGGCAGCCCTGCTAGTCGGTGTGAACAGATCTGTTTATCATGTATCCTCACCACAAACTGTGGAAGTTCCCTTTTTTTCAGTGCACAGTGACGTGAGTCTTTCTCAAAAGAAAACAGACAGCGGTGTCTCGTGGTTGAGGTTAAACCGGATGAGACTGTGTTACTTTGGGTTTGTTTTGTGTGTCTGTGTATGTCTGTGTTACCAAAAAAAAAAATATCCTCTCTAGAACTTTGAATTCTCGTCCCTTTCTGATTGGTGCTTTCAAATCAGAAGTACTTCTTGGTTTTATCAATTGAGCTGCAAATACTGTAGTTTTATCTTGACAAAATTCATCTGCTAACATGCCTCTGTTCTGAAATTTCATACTTCACAATTGATTTGATGGGTTCAGTGGAATATTAGAAAAAAGTAATTCGAGATATGCCAGTATTGAAGTTCCATGTGCAACAAGCTATTTGCAAGTCAACAGTTGCTCTTCAAACTAGACTACTATGTTAGATAGAGAAATCTGATTTTTTTAGACACCTGCGCTGTGAAAACCTTTAGAAGTGGTTTTGATAGTAAAGGGTTTTGAACTAGCAAAAACTTATTTAATTTGGTTCAATTTTTCTAAGTCAGATTATTTGAAAGCACACTGCCATATTTCAGGAATGCATCTACAATTTTAAGTGATTGGCATGTGTAAAGATTGATTTAATTTAAAATTTAAAAATTGTTGTTTGTAAAGACAATGTGAACACTACAATGTGTTTGGGGGAGGTTTGCATTCTTCGTGTACACTTGAGTTCACTGCAAGAACAAACTATAGATACAAAGCAAGATGAAGAATAATTGTTACCCTCTATTTATCTGTCTGGGTTGATGATTTAGAGGTTTAAGAACTTAATCTGGTTCCTGAGCATGCCAAGTTTTGCTTGTTTGTTGTTTTTTGTTTTTCTGGGAAGTTTAAAAGATTTTATTTTGTTGAATAACGCATACAACTTTGATTACTTACAAATCATTCATGAGCTATTTATACAGGGCTGCATATGATTATGGTAACTGTGAACTTGCTCACATATCACAGTTCACTATGAAACTGTAGGTAAAAAAGGGCTCAGGGAGACTGAAAGCTGCCTGCAGACAGATGTGCATGCAAGGACAGACAGTTTGCATCAGGGTGGTTTCAACCACAGGAGGCTACTGATCCTCTGAATATTAGCAGTGACATAAATGTGTCTGCATAGGCTGTACTGCAGGAAATGTTTCTCTTCATGCTATCAGGTAAACAATGACCTTTGTAAAGCAGAGGTATTTATTAACTGTTCATAACCTCCTGAACACGGCCAGACAGGAAGAGATGTTATCAGTACCATATTTGTTTTCATACCTAGCTTGCCAGTTTTTGACATTCTGCCCCATCTGTGTCTCATTGCATTTCTTCAGTTGCTAGCTGTCCTCAGTGAATTATTGTGAGGATTATAGAGATACTGCATCCAAACTCTTCTCAGAAGGGTGCAATAATAGGGTAATAGACACAAGTTGCCTCAAGGGAAAATCCCTATTTTTTTACCACATCTCTCTGTACCATTTTGAAGCCTCAGACTAAAAGGTGGAAATGTCTTCAACTTATTATAAGTTCATTATTAGTATTATAAGCAAGTATACGTCATCCATCAGTTAAGTTCTGTGAGTCTAAGAGGGACTAGATAGAGTTTCTCTCCTGAAGGACAAGATGCTTTGCTTGTTTGTGCCTACTATCATTATGTAATGTGCGTATCGATGCACATTACAGGTATTGCTTAAGACTTACCACATGAAAGGGATTACCAGGTGCTACTGCATGGACTTTGTATTTCACCTTCTTGCAATAAATATTCTCCTGAGTAAATAAACAATAATAATATTCTTGTCACTTACATCCAGGTAATGCTGCTGTCACACAATATTTGAATTGTTTTCCAGGTACTTTATTTGGTAGAAGAGATCAGTTACATTAATATTAGACAACAGTGCAGGGTGAAATAGATTAATTGCAATGTGGGCTTTGGCCTTGCTATCCTAAAGGGTTTTGAAATGAGGCCTCTGCAGAGGCCACAAGCTTGTTTCTGTCACAGTGTGTGAATTACCTTGGCTTACATCTGACAAACTTCTGTGAGTCTGAGGTCTTTACCAATTTCATCTCTGTACAGTCTATTCTACTCCTGATGTTCTTGTTGTGAGACCAGTAGACGATGATGATGCTTTTCTTGATAATGTTGCACTGAATGCACTCAAGAATTTTGATGTTAACACACATCAACAGAAAAAAATGCAGATTTTTTTTTTTCTGGCTGCACTTGTTACAGGTTGGGGGAATTTTGGAATAGGTGGGAGGTGAAGTACATTCAAGGAAAATGCTTGTTTGTGGAAAGTTTGTATATAGCCCCTTGGAAGATATTGCACTCCTGGGTACTGGGGGAGGTATTAGCCTTTACTTTTAGGATCCTGGTGCTACTGGACTTGAAGGCAGCCCAAAGGGAAGGAGGAACAGGCGGAGTGCTGTACTGTAAAGGAGGAAAAAGTTGCAGTTTCCAAGCAGACCACCTGGCATTAGCTGATGTTCTGATGTTCTGCTGTTCTCATATTCTGAATTTATAATGCACTTAATATACTAATATTATGTCCTGACCCTTGAAGCTGTCATCTGAGAGTCCTCTCAAGTCTTCCAAATCAGTAAGCCTAGGTCTCTGGACTACTACTGCTGCTCTTTATCCCTCTGCAAAGAAAATCAATGCTGCCTCTCTGGTTCACGCTAAGCCAGGTCTATTTGTTAACTGATGTAAAGATTCAATTAAGTTTGGCAAAAGTAGAAAGAAGAGCTTTGGATTTCAAAAATCTGGGATATGAATCCCTTTCCATGAGGATGTACACAGTTCTCTGGGCTTCATCAAAACTCGTGTGAGTTGGGTCTTGCGCCTTTTTGGCTGTTGCTTCCCTCATCTGATAGTCAATATTGATCTGGAAAGTGAAAACCAAATGCCATCAACATCTAAAAATGTATTTTCTATATATCTGCCACTTTGTTTTGTCTAATAAGCAAATTTGCAGCCTTAGAACTCAGTGTGATAGTTCAACATCAGAACTGCAAAATGCAGTTTAAAGCTTATGTTCCAGTTATGCACAAAAATAACTACTTACTATAGAAATTCAGTTTCTTATGGAGTCAGAAGTAACACAACTGATCAATGGTGTAAGAGAGGAACAACCTCCAATTAAACCTCCAGTTAAAATAATAGCAGAAAGCTTGTGTAGAATGCGAGTCTCCAGTTTGAAATACGATCAACATATACATCGTGTGACTCTGCTGGTGAGATCTGATAATCTCACAGCCAAAGACAGTAATGATGCAAGTACACCATAAAAACATGCCTCTGTCTTTGTCGTATGTAACTGAATGAATGTGTGAGCATTTCAGTGAAGCTACACTTCTATCTTCTGATATCTAGAATCCTTGTTCACAGATTAACTTTGCACATACCTGTTTAACAGCATCTGACTGAACAAACTCCTCATAAATCCTTTCTGCTTTGCCATGTAAGTGATCAGACTTGGTTTTCTTGTAATCCTCACAAGCCAACCAGAACTCGATATTTTCCTCGCTGAACTCTGACTTCAGGAATTCCCGAAAGACACCTTGTCCACCTAAAGCCAACACAAATACATCATCATTAAATACATATTTGTGACCAAGGAGGATAAAATAAATATCAGGAGTTGTATTGAAATCTGTTATAAAATTTTGCCAAATTCACTGTTCTTCTATTCTTCAAGATACTACAGATACTCTAATATTAAGGGTGATGGGAGTCTTCCTAATTAGGTTCAGTGTATTTTAGGTCTAGAACACAGGTACTAAAATACATCAATGGATTCTAGTCCTCCCTAAATGGATTGTCTGAGGGTACAAGTGGAGAGAAAATTCCAAATTAAACTGATGTGTTATGCAAGGACAGAAGACTAGTCAAAAAGCAGTGGATTGAGCCATTTGAAGTTTATTTGCTGTAGTGGGAGTATGAAATGGAAGGAAAAAGACCCCAAACTTGGAAGAGAAGCTGTAACAGTATCTGTTACACTGGAGCTGTAAATAACTGAAATGCAACTGGCCATTCTCTGACAGTGTTTGCAGAATGCTACAGCTTTGCCTATTTGGTGAGATTAGATAAAATTTTGTTTTCAAAATAAGGTCATACTGAAGTAGTAGACTTACTTTGGCTGGCCAAGAGCTTTTCCAAAGACTGGGACCACTGTATTACTTCCTCTGCAGAAAGCCTAAGATGACAAGAAAAAGAAAATATTTTAGGCAAGAAACCATGTCGGATTGTTTACAAGTTTAAAAAAGACATTTTCAAATTTTATCATTTATTTTTCTATTCTAGGAATATGTACCAGGTATTTATTAAATTTACTACTTTCTCATAATCTGAGACCCTGGAGTCAAGCCCACATTGAAAAAAATAATCAGAGAGATGGAAAAACAAAAACGATGGTGTTATCCTGAATTCTGTTCCCAGAAAGATGAGCTTTTACTGTAACTATGACCAAATAATTTTGTATCTGTACTTTGGTTTCCATATTCCTGAAAAAAGAATGGTAATATCCTTGCTCTTCACTTAAATGTGAAGCATCGTTTCTTGTAAATCTTTACAGAATGGATACAACGTTCCTCTGAAGAAAACAGATTTACTGATGTGCCTTCTCCCTCATTGTTTGATACAAATACATCACTAAAAAAAAATCCTTAATTCCATCAATAGTTTCTACTTGCTAATGTTCACTTCTTTTGTATTTTGGAAATTCTAGGCATTAGTAGAATGTTTGTTTTTCTAGAAGTAGTTTAGAAATTAATAAAATAGTTTACTATATAGTAATCTAGCTATAGTTATATTTTGTTATATCTTAGTGTATTTCAGTACTTACATGACATTTCTGGAGTTAGAAGTCTTGATCCCAGATTCAATATGTGGTACCATGGACTTCAAATAATTTTTGAGATCTGCACCACTGAAACCAA